GCCTCATTCCGCGATCATGCCCCCTATGCAAAAATTGCGCAACAGCCCGTAGTTCTTCCAATCGTTGACGAGATCCGAGTAGTAGATCGATCCCTGAACCGTATCCAATCCATCTTGGTCACACTTTCAAAGATATCGGATGCATGTTGCACAAACGATCCCGAATTAAAAACCACACCCAGAACCTTGCCGTTATAGATTTAGTTTAATAACGGAGGGGGGCTGAAGATCCCCTCTAACGTTCATGGTAGTTGACATTATTTCCGTCTCTCTTTCAATAAAAATTGTCAGTTGCAGTTCTTTATACTGATTTATCAGGTGGTTATCTGTGAAGGAAAACATCGAGGGGAAACCTGACATGTCTGGGAAATAAAAAACAAAATATATCACGAAGACATGTTAAATCCGTCAACACGACACAATATTGGTGTAGCGCGGCAGACAATACCTTACCCTAAAAACCCTCTCAGAAATGAGAGGAGGCTGTGCCCGGAAGTATTTTGTGACAAAAGAACATGCAGTCCACCTGATGGTAAGTGGATGCTGTTGTCCATACATCAACATTTATCCTCGATAAAGAATCAACTTGCAGATTCGTTATCACCTTTAAGGACTAAGACGGAATGCTTTGTTTTTGTTACAGTATTAAGTTACTATTTCCCGAGAGCCCGGCCGAGCCCACCCATTATTGCTACAACCATAATATGGCTGCATCGTGGCTATACCAGGTATTACGACGTATTTGGTTGTATATTTTTCAAATTAGGGATTTTAGAAACATTAAGCACCATCCCTGGCCTTCAATTTGAAAACCTTAATTAAATCAAGCAAGCAATTTTTCGCACAATTAAACTCAGCCGCGTTCTATCTGAGTGTAACATTAGTAATTGCGACAGAACTCTCGGTGAATGGAAAGCTGTATAATTGTTTTTACGAGAGAAATTACTTGACCTTTTGATTAAGATTTAAATTCTCTCTCTTCCACCATCGCACCACTAGACGCTCAACATGTCTACATGCTTTTGTTGTCGATATGTCGCAGGCAATTGGATCAGTTAGTTTTTTAATTAGCAGCCTAGCCTTTTTTAGTCGTCATTGCAGCCTTTAAAAGTCCTCAGCCTAAAAAAACATAGGCCTCCCCCATAGATTACCTCATGGTATTTTGCCGTAGTTGCCATGCTTGGTAGGCGAATAAGCAAGTATGTAAGTAAGTATATAAGCAAGTATATAATCAAGTAAATAAGCAAGTATATAATCAAGTATATAAGTAAGTATATACCAGGTGGTCCCATAATGAACTGGCCTGATATAGTTCAACGCGACATGTCGCTACATGTTGCATTAAATAGTACGTTTATCGTGCACTTAATATAAGAAACATGCATCGACATGAAATGCTTAGTCTTAGTTTAACAGGCATTTGAATAACGAGAGTCGCGTATTTTTTCAAAATGTCGAAAACTGAGTATCGAAGTGTCATAAAGTTTCTGTTTAAAGAAGGTTTATCCCCTGCCCAAATAAAAGAACGATTGGATGGCGTGTATAAGGAGTCTGCCCCCTCCTAGTGAAAAATTGGGTGAAAGAGTTTCGCCTCGGGAGAGAAACCGTCGAAGACTTTGGCCACGACGGTCGACCTGTGGAAGTGCTCACTCCCGAAACGATTGCTCTTATCGAAGAGGAGGTTCTGAGTGACCGCCGTTTGAAGATTAGAGAAATTGCAGCAAGGCTTGGGCTCTCTAAGAGTACCGTTCATTGCGCGATCCATGAACATCTTCACATGAAAAAAGTGAGTGCAAGATGGGTACCGAAACTTCTTTCAGAGGTACAGAGACAGGAAAGAGTGCGCTGCGCTTCGGAGTTTTTGGATCTTTGTGGCGAAAATCCAAAGACTGTGATCGAGCGGCTAGTGACTGGTGATGAAACTATGATCTTGTATTATGATCCGCAAAGCAAGCTTGAGTCAATGGAATGGCGTTATAAGGGTGAAAAGCCCCCTAGAAAGGCAAAGGTGCAACAATCGACTAAAAAACTGATGTGCACAATATTTTGGGATTTTCAAGGCATTTTGATGGTGGATTTTAAAGAACGTAATACAGTCGTGAACGGCGAATATTATGCTTCTTTAATATATAAATTACGAGACAAGATAAAGGAAAAACGAAGAGGCAAGCTGTCTAAAGGTGTCCTGTTGCTCCATGACAACGCCCCTGTTCATACCGCTGGTGTTTCGAAGGATGCAGTTCGTCAATGCGGGTTCACAGAAGTTCAACATCCACCTTACAGTCCAGACATGGCCCCGTCCGACTATTATTTATTTCCAAATTTAAAGCGGGACTTAAGAGGAAGAAAATTTTCAAGCGATGAAGAGTTGCAGGCGGCCGTCTTCAGTCATTTTGAGGATAAAAAATGTGATTATTTTTATAAAGGTTTAGAGATGTTGATTCACAGATGTCAGAAGTTTGTTAGTATTCATGGTGATTATATTGAAAAATAAAATTGTTTTCGTGTCATTTCCTTCATTGGTTCATAGTTAGGCCAATTCATTATGGGACCGCCATATTGAACTAATTATTTAATATATTTGGCGGGGATCGAATCCTGTTTGTTTGATACTTTGAAATTAATGGCGTATGTTTTATCGCAGTTTTTGATTTCGGTTCTAAGCTTCTAGGCGCGATTTATATGCAAATATATATGCAAGTATAAAAGCAAGTACGTAAGCAAGTATATAAGCAAGTATATAAACAAGTACATACTCAAGTATATAAGCAAGCATATAAGCAAGTATATAAGCAAGTATATAAGAAAGTATATAAGAAAGTATATAACTAAGTATGTAAGCGAGTATATAAGCAAGTATATAAGCAAGAATATAAGCAATTATATAAGCAACTATATAAGCAAGTATATAGCAAGTATATAAGCAAGTACATAAGCAAATATATAACGAAGTATATAGATAAGTATATCAGCAAGTATATAAGCAAGTATATAAGCAAGTGTATAAGCAAGTATATGAGCAAGTATATAAGCAAGAAAATAAGCAAGTATATAAGCTAGTATATAGGCAAGTATATAAGCAAGTATATAGGCAAGTATATCAGCAAGTATATAAGCAAGTATATAAGCAAGTATATAAGCAAGTATATAAGCAAGTATATGAATATGTATATAAGAAAGTATATAAGCAAGTAAATAATCAAGTATATAAGCATGTATATATGCAAGTATTTAAGAAAGTATATTAGCTGGTATATATGCAAGTATATAAGCAAGTATATAAGCAAATATATCAGCAAGTATATAAGCAAGTATATAAGCAAGTATATGAGCAAATATATAAGCAAGCAAATAAGCAAGTATGTAAGTAAGTATATAAGCAAGTATATGAGCAAGTATATAAGCAAGTAAATAAGCAAGTTTGTAAGTAAGTATATAAGCAAGTATATATGCAAGCATATAAGCAAGTACATAAGCAAGTAAATAAGCAAGTATATAAGCAAGTATGTAGGCAAGTATTTAGCAAGTATATCAGCAAGTAAATAAGCGAATATATATGGAAGTATATGATCAAGTACATAAGCAAGTATATAAGCAAGTATGTTTACTATTACTACCTGATTATTAACTTGCTTCCATACTTGCTTATATACTTTCTTATATACTTGCTTACATACTTATGCTTATTTACTTGCTTATTTACTTTTATATACTTGCTTATATACTTTCTGATATATTTGCATATAAGAAAGTATGTAAGTAGGTATATAAGCAAGAATATAAATACTTGCTTATATACCTGCTTACATACTTGTTTATTTACTTGCTTATATGCTTGCTTATATACTTTTTTATATACTTGCTAACATACTTGCTTATTTACTTGCTTATATACTTGCTTACATACTTGCTAATATACTTTGTTATATATTTGCTTATATACTTACTTAAATACATGCTTACATACTTGCTTATTTACTTACTTATATGTTTGCATATATATACTTGTATATCTTACTTACATACTTGCTTATTTAATTGCTTACATACTTACTTATATACTTGCTTATTTACTTGCTTATATACTTTCTCATATACTTGCTTATATACTTACTTATATACATGCTTATATACTTGCTGATATACTTGCTTATATACCTGCATATATAGCAGCTAATATACTTTCTTATATGCTTGCATATATACATGATTATATACTTGCTTATATACTTTCTTATATACATACTCATACACTTGCTTTTATACATGCGTATATACTTGCTTATATACTAGCTCATATACTTGATCGGCAAGTATGTAAGCAAGTCACTAAGCAAGTATATAAGTAAGTAAAGTAAATGTTGGCATCCTATTAATGTTTCTGGTGTCCAACAAGATGTATCTAAAGGGAAAAGATGGATAATTGTGCATGCTGGAAGTGAGAACGGTTTTGTGTCAAATCGCTATTAATATATACTGGTAAAAACAAGCAAGATGATTACCATTCTGAGATGAATGCTCATAATTTTACAAAATGGGTAACTGAAAAGTTAGTGCCCAACATAACTGAACCATTAATAATTGTGATGGATAATGCACCATACCACTCTACTATAACAAACAAGGTATTATAATATTTCTTTCTTATACTTTAGTTTTGTTTTACATTATTACTTATCTTTTTATGTTGCAACTGAAAATCAACTATTAAATTAAGTTTTTTTTTGCCCCAGGCACCTACATCTGCATCAAAAGTTTTTGAAATCTAATTGTGGCCAATGGAAAATAATATTCCATTTGATGAAACGTTGCGGAAACCATCCTTATTGATGCTTGTAACAAAACATAAACCTGAACCGGTGTATTATATTGATGAACTCCTAGGGAACATGGGCATACAGTGGTAAGACTACCACCCTATCATTGTGATCTGAACCACATTGAATTAGTTTGGGCAATAGTAAAAAGGCGAATCGCACAAAAGAATGTTTGTGGTCAAGATGTTGCGAAGTTGGCTACTGAAGCATTTCAGTCAGTAACTCAGCAGGAATGGAAAAATTGTGTTGACCATGTCATCAAGCTAAAAAATGAATATGATATCGACAAACTTGTCATCTCAGTAAGCGATGGTAGTTCCAGTGAATCTAAAGAGTCACTAATGGACCAATTTAATTACGCAGGAGCTTCAGGCAACATTTCGGGAGTTGAATACCTCGACTCAGATTATTTGGACTCAGATTAATAATCAAAATATAATAACTATATATCAACATTTTTTGTTTTATTTCTTCATCTTGAGTGTCCGCTGTGTGTCAAGGCTGGTCTTGTGTAAAACCTGCTTTTCCTAATTACTTGTAAGATAGTCAAATTATCTCAATTATTAAGTATGTGAATTTAGCTAATTATTGCTGCTGGGATAAACAAGGGTCAAGGGTTACTGATACCAATAAAAGCATGCACTTGAAAACTATGAGAGTAAAGGGACCATAATAATAAATCAGTTTATAAAATAAAAAGTATCAAAACTTTTTGGTTGAAATTTATGTAGATGCCGTATAATAGATAGTGGCGCCCTCCATTTTTTTATGAGTTTCTTGACAGACTGTAATGGAGAATATTTATATTATTACTGTAAGATCGACTTTGTTGAACGAGTTTAGGTCATACTATGTTAGACAAATGTTGTCATGGTGATCCATATTTTTTTTTACTTATAGTAGCCAGTGTTTGACCGCAATCCCACATGGTGGTAAGACCTAGATGGTAAGTCGCACTATTTTAGTGCAACAATAGACTATTGACCCTTGCCTTGAAGACGCCCAGATTGTATTCGGACGGAAAGATAGTCGCCGTCGAATTATTCAGCTCGTTTTGATTGCCTCTGAATAGTAAATATTAAACAAGCCCCGACATCTTTTTATTGTCAACTAGCCACCGGCCCCGGCTGCGTTTTTTCTCAAATCTTCAAGTTATTGACTTGACGTCTAATAAATCCATGAACGTGCAACCGGCGTTCATGGAACACGGAATGACAGGATGACTCATAGTAACGTTACGTTCACTGTAACGTTATGATCAGAGCGAGATCGCTGCACTAGCGAGCGAAAGACACGATCGGCTTGAGCGTTCGGCTTGCGCCGCATCTATCTCTCTTCCACAAAGTATGCAATCATTTCATCAATGTTTTTTTATGACGTTGCCATGTTCATGTATCCGTGAACCGACTTAACAGACAACCAATTTTTATTGTTTTTTTGGATAAAATATAGCCTTGATCGCTAATGGCAATGCTCTTTATACTCTCGTAAATGTTTTTACAATAGGTTCAGCTAATTCGAAGACTAGACCGAACAGACCGACAAGCAGACGAAAATTTAAAAAATATTTTTGATCTCTTAGTAGCATGCTAATAAATAATAGAGCTTTTTAGAAACCAGTTATTTTAATATAATAGACAGACGCCCCTATTGTAATTATATGTGTAGATGAAAGGTATAGCGAAAGTGCTAAAAAAAATACTCAAAGACAAACATCAAGACCCGGAACTATTATTTGTAGGCCATATGTTCCGTGCGGAATTCGAACCCGCGACCCTGAGCGCAGTAAAGTACTAAGACACTGCACCATGAAGCCGTCAAAACTTCTATCATTTAACTCCATAAGTGAAGATAAGACATCCTTTTAACGATAAAAGTACAGGGGGAACAATGGCTGACAGGCGTAAATTTATTACCGTCCGAGATAAGTGCTTCGATCGGCGCATCCTGTCGAAATGCTTATATGTTAGTTTGCATAAAAGTTATTTTAATGGATAGTTTTTTTATAGAATTAGGGTGACTTACGAGTCTACAGTCCACCTGATGGTAAGTGGATCCTGTGGCCCATAGACATCTACATTTCATCTTGATTAAGAATCAAAATGCAAATGCGTTGTCTCCCCTGACGACTAAGATGGAATACCTCGATTCCAGTAAAACGGGTCTCCGGGTCTCTGCATTCACTATATGAAACACAGCAGCATCAAGCTGCTATATAACGCTGGTATTCTGTGAGAGCGTGGTCCTTCCCTAGTCGAGCCGAACCTTACGTGCTACAACCATAATATAACTGCAACATGGCTCTACCACGTATAAACCGTCTAGTAAGAATATCCACTAGCCCACATCATCGCAGGAGTATCGCAAGAGGAAACAGATTAAAGTGAAACAGAAGATGTGCAGCAACAGCTTGCTGACAACAGCTCATCATAATAAACAATTGCGGTCCGCCAGTTCGCCTGCAGCGCGTGCTGTCTAATAACAGCTCAGCATAATAAACAATTGCGGTCCGCCAGCTCGCCTGCAGCGCGTGCTGTCTGATAACAGCTCAGCATAATAAACAATTGCGGTCCGCCAGCTCGCCTGCAGAGCGTGCTGTCTGATAACAGCTCAGCATAATAAACAGTTGCGGTCCGCCAGCTCGCCTGCAGCGCGTGCTGTCTGATAACAGCTCAGCATAATAAACAATTGCGGTCCGCCAGCTCGCCTGCAGCGCGTGCTGTCTGATAACAGCTCAGCATAATAAACAATTGCGGTCCGCCAACTCGCCTGCAGCGCGTGCTGTCTGATAACAGCTCAGCATAATAAACAATTGCGGTCCGCCAGCTCGCCTGCAGCGCGTGCTGTCTGCGGCGACTGAGTGAGGCAATTTGTGGGAGAGACCTTCGCTGAGCAGTGGAGTGTTGATGAGCTGGTAATGGTAACGGTAGTGTTATAGTAATATAACCGTTATCAATGACAGATATAGTCGAACTCATTATAATATTGTCTTGTATTATATATTTGTGTATATGTGTGTATTCTATGTGTGTGTGTCTGGTAGAGCCACGCTGCAGCTATAGTATGGTTGTATCACGAATGATTCGGCCCGACCGGGGAAGGACTACGATATCACAGCATACAAGCGTAAAATAGCAGCTTAATACTGTTCGGTTTCGTATGGTGAGTGTAGAGAACCGGAGACTCTTTTTTACTGGAAACGAGGCATTTCATCTTAGTCCTGAGGGTTGACAACGCATCTGTGTTTTGATTCATAATCTAGGATAAATGCAGATTCCACTTACCATCAGGTGGATTGTGAGCTCGTCGTCGTCGGTTGTTTTACTATCTTAAGTATTATTAAGATATGTTCGCATATTTTTACTTATTGTGATATTTATTATATTTTCTGTTACCGCCTTCGTAGTGTTATTTAAGGTTGTCTGGCAGATAATGCTTTCCTATACTGTTTTCAAGGTTCAATAAAGAAAAAAATCGGAATGAACAGGTACTTTGAAATTTAAGGGCCAGTGCGACGCTTGAAACGTAGTAGCTCAGGTGTTAAGCGCATATTATTTTTACAGTACGCAAGCCACCCAGGTAAGATAACCGTCGGTAGATGACACCAATAAATCAGATGCACTAATAAAATTCTTAATTGGAATTTTATGTACTGATTTACCATGTGCTCAATGGTGAAAAAAATTATTCCAAGGAAATCAGTATGTCTAAGAAATAAAGTTTCTATGATGGGTGAGGTCCGCCAACACTCACTGAAGCGGCGCGGCGAACTTATTGCTTCGTAAACCACTCAGAAAGGAGAAGAAGCCGGTGCCCAGCAGTGGGATGAATATAGGCTGTAACTTAACTTTGAATAATACTAGTTTATGTGGATTTTATCGCATATATTAACTTTTTTATATTCCCGACTTTTCGAGCTCTTTACAGCACGCATGGTTACAGGGAGACTGAGGTGTTCAACGTCCAGATGTCATAATTAACCGCGGTTACCCACAGATTAAAATTATTAATCTTTGTTCACATCTACACAGTATGAACTTATAGTATCTTGAAGTCTTGTAGTTGTATGCTTAGGTTGGGATTTAATTTTATTTATTATAGGATCCCAAGCAGATGCTAGCGCCCAGCTGTCTTCTCTATTGAAATTAGGATGTTTTTTGATTTGAATAGCCTCGCCAATCAGCCTTGGAAGGAATCTGCGATCTTTATCGGGAATTTGTGGTCACTATATCAGATTTGATACAAATCGTCGCTAAAGAACACCTTCCAAGGATTCCTTACAAGGATGATTAAATATGTAGTGTTCGCGTAAATATAAGAAATCATTATGTAACTTAACTTTTTTATTACTACTAAAGTTAATGCCCAACTTGGCTTTTAAACAACCACGAATCTTGATTAAAATTTTTACCATATAGTATTTTTACTTTGCTAATAAGCAAAACTGTATGTCCACGCTATGATTTTTTTGTATCTTGAAGGTATGTTGCATACTAGTACATAAATTGCACATACACAAACATTCAGTCCTTGTAGTGACGGTGTAAGGATACCCACTACCCCATATCGACCCAGGGGTGTCGTGAGAGGCGACAGAGTGAAGTGAGTCAGGAGATGGGCAGCAGCGTCTTTCTAATAACGACCAAAATAAAACACTGCTGTTGCCAACCCGCTGGCCAAGCGTGTCAACTATGGCAAATAGGGGGAAGCCTATCTTCAGCAGTGACATTAATTGGCTGTAACGGTACCGGTAAACATCCAGGCCAGGGACAATTATTTTTGGCCATACATACACTTTTTCCGTATCGTATTCGAACTCACCACCTCCCATCGTCCCACCGATCCTCAGGAAATACGAGCCGAATCGCGGGAGACGCGGCTCTTTCCCTGGCGCACTATCTTGACTCCCTACAAAAATTTAATCTGTTCCTTGTCCCAGTTTTACGTCATTCTCTTCTTCTGGGGCTGACGGCACAGTAACGCCTATGTCGTCGGGCCTTTCTACCAGCGTTCCTTACCTGGCGTAGGGGAGACCGTGATCAGGACGGTGTTTCCCCATGGCGAGGCCTACTAGGCTGCACTAAAAGTATCGGGAATGGAATATTTCCACTGTTCCTGTCATATTAAAATCTTTTTAATTGAAAACCTCTTGGTTTCAAAAAATCGAATACCATTTATTTATTTAAAAAAAATATTCTCGGTCTTGTCACAAGGTTTTGTCAAACTTGTTTAGTCGTTGAGATAATGGAATTGACTGGAGAAAATTCAAGAGCGATGATTTATTATGACTTTCGAAGTGGTTTAACAAAAAAAACAGTGTGTTGACCGGATGATTTCTGCATTTGGTGATGAAACCCCATTCAAAACCACAAGTTATCGCTGGTTTGCTGAATTTCAACGTGGACGTGTCAAGCTCAGTGATGAT